GCAAAAGGAGTGAAATTTAATTAAAATAAAAATTTATTCCCAGAGAAGAGGCTTCTAATTCTTATCTGTTTGCCTAGAATTGTTATTGCAGACTTGATTATGTAGTTACAAGTACAGTACTTAAAGCTCATATATTCTATTTTGAAGGTCAAAATTCTCTAAAATTTATTATAGTCGTGCTTGTGATTTATAGCTGCAGAGATGGGAAGTTTTCATCAATCCAGGGGAAACTGTTAAATGCAACCACACTTCAATAGGCACAAAATATTCTTTGGAGGAATTCCTGGTTTTGATTTCTCATAAAACATCCATCAAATTGTAATCACTTCTTATTGCTGCACAAGCAGTAGCTTTTTTGAGTTAGGTAAGCCAGTTCAGTCCTTCTCATTTAATATGTCCTAAATTTACATAATGGACTTGACCTTTCTATGACTCTCTTAGTTCTTGTTTCTGCTCTATTTTCCTCTTTCTCCAGCAGGTCAGAGCCCTAAAGTTCCTTCATTACTGTAAAGTTTTGCCCCTTCATATGCCTTAGCTGTTGGCCTCCATGAACTTGGTACATGTGCTTGTATTGATATGCATATATTTAACATATGTTATATATGTGCACAAACATTTTGTCCCTGTCTACACCTCATAGTGACAATCTTGAGAGAATAAGCTATATACACAGTGCAATATTCCCTGTGGTGAACAATGACTTTTTAATTGTTTAGCATCTAAGTCATAATTGCTGTGACTGCTGTTGGGCCAGATGACTTGCTACTTCGTGTCTGAATGTTTTGCCATCAAATCTTTGTATCTCTGGCTGAAAAGCAGTTCAAAACCTGAAATGGTCTCACTGTCAGTGAACTCAGCAGAATAATAGTTTCTTACAGAAAACAGTGAATTGGGCTCAGAATGGCAACAAACCATTTCCAGGGAATAATAATCAAAATTCTAATTAAGTTGTCCACTTCTTCACTGTGGTAAACCACATATTCAACTTTGGACTGCTTGCCCCTTAAAGCAAAATTTTCAAAGTTCAGCTTGTATTCTGTCTAAAAAACAGTGATTAGACTTATTCAACACGGCTACTTACTGGCATGCTAATGAGGTTTTCCTAAAGACAAAACCACAGCGAGCGGTTAACAGAAATCTTTCCATCTATCAGTGAAGCCAGTGCATGGGAGACTTTAGGTTGGGTCTTTCACAGTGCTGTGCTGCTGATACATCATGATAGACCAAACCATACTTGCTACATAAAAGCTGGCTATCCAGTCTTCAGTCTTAGGCTCCATACCTCTATCCTAGTATTAAGAATGCATTTGCAGTTTTTTGAGATGCACAGCTGTAAGAATCAAACCCAGTTTTATAAATTCCACATCTGAGTAGTCCTCCCAAATTATAACAGTATACATTCCCACTATAGGCAAGGGGAACTCAAAAATAATTTCTCATTCTTACGAAGTATCTACCTGTGTAGTTTGCATATTCCCATGTGCATTTTCTTCCTCTAGGAACTGAAGGAAAACAGAACCAGGAGAAGGAGATGACCACCAATTTCCTTCCATTGCTAAATTACTAATTTATAAGAAGAAGCATTATGAAAATTAAGCATATATCACACACATTCCTAAACTTTTTTGAAACAAGCTTATTAAACTGAAAGATGTATGTACTGGTAGACTTGCCCATCTGCCAGGAGTAGCTGCCTGGGAAACAAGGCCGTTTCCCACTGCAGACATCCAAAGTCAACTGGAAAAAAAAACTTTGTTTTGTTCTTGTATTGAAATTCTGACAATTGGAGACTTTATGGCAATTGGAAACATAACATAGTAGCAGAGAGCAACGTTGTGCCTTGTATGCATAATCAGTTTGTGAAAACTGAAAAAAAAAAAGTTAATAGAACCAGCAGACATTTTTTGTAGTATCGCTTCATACAATAGTTACAGAACAATGTATCACATTGACTGATCCACCTTGCTAAACACCATGACAAAGTAAATGAGCGGGTTGTATAAAAATGCCGAAAGAGTTGAAGCTTAAATTAGAGAGTCTGTAGCCTTTGTTTGTGACCATAAATTATGGAAAAATCCTGCAGGGAAAAATGCAACATTAAAAAATTCTTTAAAAGCCAACAGATATGACCCATCAAATAGTAAAAATGTATTGGACTATACTATATACCTAACATTACTCACTTAGGATGCTATAAAATTCCAACAGTTTCTACAGTTATCTCACAGGTTAAATGAGCTCCCACAGATGGACGCAGGTCAAATGACACATGGACTGTCATTTGAAAGACTAAGATATAAAAATATTTTCAATTAATAAAATCAGTGTCCCTTTCATCCTGAAGCTACAAAGATTTCCTCTCTGTTTCTGGGTGAAGAGCTAATACACGAGACAAGCCACAGAATCTGTCAGGACATATGGCTTCTTTCCCATGAATAGCTTAAAGAAAATTAGGGAAGAAAAGAAAAAGTCCTACTCTTTCAGATCCAATAACCTCAGTTGTAACTTCTAACAGCTATGTATCAGTAGGTTATAAGAGGGCTAAGTTTTAATCACTGATGTCTTCTTAAACACAAAAATGGTGATATATCACCCTCAGATATGCAATTGGCACAAGAATCTGTGAGCATTTAAGAGACGTCGTGTGCAGTATAAGCCCTTTCTGACTGTAATGCAGCTCAAGAGGAATCTCAGTACTGAAAAGTCCCTCTGCAAGCAGTGAGTGCCTCCTGCCTGAGTTTGTTCTGTTAGCCCTTTCTTTTGCTGTCTGGATGAAAACAAAACAAACAAACAAAAAAAACCAAAAACAAGTAATTGGGAGCCTACAGAGGGGAAGAAAGGATGGAAGGAGGAAATCTGGTCGTGTATATTTGCAGGTTTCTCTGAAGAGTTGTAGAAGAAAAAACTTGTGGGAAAAAAATTGAAGCGATAGAAGCCCAACTATTTTTTCCTTAAGAAAGCAGAATTTCTGGACTTACCCAATTTTTGTTATTGTATTGTATTAAAATTTGCCAATGACCTAGAGTTGGTTGCCATTTTTTCCCCATTTTTTGCTCTACAAGCAACCTCCACAATTAAACTGAAGAAACTTCCAAAAATTTATGATCAAGTGATTCTACCAGATCTGCCAAATCATGTAAAAGAAAGAAGACACAATCCTACCTGTGAACTGTGACAGTAAGGAGGCAGAGGTTAGGGTACCAAGAGCAATATACTTACAGCACCTTAAAACAAGCAATGCTGTACCATTTGCTGTGTTCAGACAGTACCATTCCCAGGAGTCACTAATGCTTTGAGCAGCATTGTTGATTACTCGCTTCAGTGTTCTTCTCTTATCCGCAGGAGCTCCCTGCTTGCTAACTCCCTTTCAGCTCAATACTGTAGAAAAGTGAGTGTCTAGCATCAGCAGATAGCAGCACATATGTTTGTGAAAAAAATATAAACCTTGCAAAATGTTTTCCTTGAGTCACTTGATCTTAACATTTAGCAGTTTATAAATCAACAATTAATTGACATTCTCCCCTGTTCTCAACAACAGGGAGAGAAGTGATGGATGGACATAAGTTTTTGGAAGATGAATTCAATCAGAGGTGTAAACACAGCACCAGTTTGGAGCAGAAGCCAGTGCTAGGCACATTGAAAGGCATGCAGAACCCTCTTTCTCTTCTTTGACTACTGCAACCGATCTTCAAGCTAAGGTCCCTAAAATGCATGCCCAAACTCAGTGTTGTAAGCCTCTCTTGTCTTTCCTCACCACTGTCAGCAAATCTCTGTGGTTTGAAAACTGGAATCATAAGTCCTGTGCTTGGCTTCTCTCAGGTTGGTATGCGTGCTCATGCACACATCGTGTATACACATGTATGGACAAGTATGCAGATCGGTATGACTTAACTTTTCAGAAGGGAAAGAAGAGAATCAGTGAAGAGCTGCAGGAGTCTACACTGATATATGCTTTTTCTTCTTCTGAGTAACTTGGAAGTTTATTTCACACTGTGGTTTCAAGTTCAGGTCAGTCATATTTAGCAGCCATGCAACTGATACTCCCATTCATATTTTCCCTTATTTTATGAGAATAAGGAAGCATTTTCTCCATGTATATACATGCTGTTTTTTTTTTTTTTTTTTTTTTTTTTTTTTTTTTTTAAAATAACTGACTCCTCATTTTTGTTTTCCCCATGTAAACATCTGCTATTCCAGGTTACTATTCCAAGAACAAAATAGCTAATAGTAGAAAGCATAAATGTATGTAAAATTATACTGTCTAACAGTGCAAAGAAATATAATCTCCTAAAGTTGATTTTCATAATGTGCAGAAATCCAGTGGTTGTCAGGTGCCATCAAGCATCCAACTGTTACGGTGACTGTATAAAATTAATAATCTCTCAAAAAAAGGCTGCCAGATTAAGCTACGCAAACTGCACCAATTGTGCAGGTTTCTATTGCTTAAGTAATTGCAGGGTTGAGAAATATCATTTGTGTAGTTTGGGGTGACTTTGTTTTGTCAGAATCCACAAGTGGAATTAAGGTGAAAACAGATGAGTGTTCACTTGTTAACATTATAAACTGAAAGGATTCAAAGCCTGCCTGGATTTTCAGATGTGAGCGCCAGCATCCACAGTCAGTCAGCATACCAGATTGCATGTGCACAGCATACACATATCTATGCTGTATACATAGCACCAGCAAAAATTAAGCAAAGGAAAAGCAAACTCAAAGAGATGCCGCCACACAAAATCTCATCTACAATCAGGTTAACAAAACAAGTAAACACGTTTGCAAGGCTAGTACGATCTAGGAAGATTTTCATTCCTCAGTCCAACTTTAGGATAAAGCAGTAGCGGAGTCCTGCTCTGTCTGAAGCCCCAGTATTTCAAGTTCTCAGCACCAGAGAAGCTAATTAACAAAAACCAAAGGATGATGGAAAGAAGCCAGATAAGCCATAAACCTCTCCAGATATAAGCGCGCAGCGAGCAAGATAATAAAAAGTCAGCAGGATTTACCGTTTTAATTATCCAAGTGGGCGTTTTGTTTGGGTTGGAGTTTTTGTGGAAGCGCCGGGAGCTGTTTCCCCGAGGACAGGTCCGTACGCATCCACACCGCGGCACAACGCGGAGCGCAAAGCAGTAGCCACGGCTCCCCCTCAAAAAAAAAAAAAAAAAAAAAAAAAAAAAAAAAAAAAAAAAAAAAGCGAAGAGGAAAAAAATAAAACCACAGGGAGAGGAAGGAAGAGGAGGTACCCCGCCGGCCGGGCCAACTCCGCCGGTTTTGCTCCCGCAAGGCTGATAGAGGCGGCTGCTCGGCGCAACTTGCGCACCGGGCGGGTGGAGAGGCGGGCACCAGGAGGCGGCGCGGTGCGGCTTCACCGCGGCCCCCGGGGGCTGCCCAAGGGCTGAGCCGGACACGGAGAGCGTCCCCCCGTGGATCCCGGGTATCCAGCGCTGGGTGGAAGGGATGCTGCGCGTTCGCCGCCTTTTCAGTCTCCGCCTTGTGCCAAAGCAGTGGGTGGGAGGGGAAGTCTGTATCAGTCTCTCATCTGCCGCGGGTTTTTGGATCCTCCGAAGTGCTGCTGTCTTCCTCCCAAATATTATGAGCAAGCTGTATGTGATGCGGTGCTGAGGTGGAATATGTGCTCAGCTCTCTGCAACGGTTGCATGCCATCTGGCAAAGCTGTGTGTTTAGACCAGGAGATTTGGAAATGGCCAATACTTTGCCACTCGTAAGCCATAACTGAAGATACTCAACTGCTATCCTTGAGGTGAGCCCCGTGCTCTGCAGCACCCACCAGCAGTTGAGCATCTATTTAGTGCCTTCCCTCTGCCTCCCTGGCACTCAGTGCTGGGTCTGCATGTGCAGCACATTCCTGCAGTTGCTTCTAGCATGGCATCCCAGAACACTGAGCACAACGTGGATAACCTATCTGCAAGCACAGCTTTCTGCTTCTCTTACACTTCATGAAATTGACTTTCCTCATGGACATTTTACATTGGTAATAATTGAACTCTATGCCCCCTTTCATCATTTCATGTTTGTGGTTTGCTTGGATCTCTGCTTACGTAAGCATTTGCTTTTGAAACAAAAAAAGAAATGTAATGGGGGAAATCAACCCCTATATGCCAGAACACCTGTGTAGATAACAACCCTAACGCTTTCTCTCATCCTATGGCAGCACTGTAGTTCCATCAGTTTCCTCAGAGGCAGTCTCACTTGGTCATTTGGCAACTGACAGCACCTGTGGTGGCTGCTTAGTGCTTGTCTTTCTGCACACCTTTAAGGTTCCAGCTCTATATGAGCTGAATGCAAGTTAAGGCTCTACTGAATAAAGTCTTCTTCCTCAGCCACCAATTGAGTGCATCTCCTGCTGAGTTTTGATTAAAAGAATGAAGTTTTAATTATACAAGTGACCTTAGCAATAAAAGAGGTTAAACAGAACAGTCTTGCTCCGTCCATTGCTCCTGGTGAGTAGGAGATGACTGTTTATTATTAACCTGCATTCACACTGTAGTGTACTTCTGGGCTTCAATTGATGCCATTACAGTGAACCTAACGGAGGATGTGAAAGTGCCTCTCTAGAACAGACAATTTAGTATGTTATTTTTCTGTTTCTATGAACATAGAAAAAGATTTTGTCCTAGAGAAAAAGGCTTGAGTAACATTGATACTGTCAGAAATTCTCCAATAATTCCCAAAACAGTGTGCTGGAGCATTGGTTGTCACAGTGTGAGCAACTAATCTTTCCAGTTCCTTCTTCAAATACCTCCTTAGGGCTTCTTGCTTCCTGCAGTGTGATGCTCACAACACACTTGGGAACTGCTCCTTGGTACTCTGTGCTTTGTGCTCTTTTGGTTTTAAAACATTGCTCAGCTTCAGATTGCACTTTTTTGAACAAAGCTATCCCTGCCCAGCACAGTGGCATCTTGGCCAGCTGCTGTCTCTCACAGCAGTAGTTTTGATGATAGCAAGAAAGGGCTTTGATTATAACAAGTAGCAATTTAAGGCTTATTTCCAAGAGTAATTTTTCTGTTTTGCTGTTTTACATAGGAGCAGTTACACTGGGTCAGAGAAGAAGTTGTTCAAAGCCCATTGTCTCCTCTCAGAAGAAAGCTGGTAGTGAGTTGGAGAAAAGTACATGACCTGAGAAGCCTTGTCCTGTATACTCTTGTCTTCCTGAAGCATAGGCACTACTCCCTTTGTGAACATTTTTATTATGTTGGTATCCACAGTGCCTCTTCAGCAAGCCATTTGGTTTAAACTTCTGTGTGGTTTTCTGTTTTGTTTTCTCTTCTTGTGTGTTAAACTGAATGTCAAACAGCTGTGACAATTTTCTTCTTAACTGATATTTTCATTAGATGAGATACACCTATTGAAACCCCCGTACTTGAAAAATTTGCAGGCCAGTGAACAGGTAATAGTTGCATTCAGGGCTATTGCAGTAACTAGGGGGAGAAAGGCCTATGCTTACATACTTCGATCTCAATTCTTCGGAGCCAGTTTTTTGTTCTGAGTTCCATGGAGCCTGTCTTGTTAAAATCATGATCCTGAACTCAGGCTCCAAGACACTATGACAGCACAAATAGTAATAATAATAATAAAAGATTATCTGAATATTTTAAAATAAACAATACGTTGGCATGGTGTCTGGGCAGTGGATGCAGAACACTGATGTGTTTTGTGCCATCACTGCATGATTTTAGTCCCTTTCTGAGTAACTTCATGCAATGTAACTTTTTATGTAACTATTTTTTAGATGAGAAATAAAATAATATGATTAAATGAAATCAAGATCGTAGCCCTGTTTGATTCTAAACAACGTTCACCACAGCGATGAGAGTCCAATTTCTTAGAATCACAGAATCATAGATTCATCATGATTGGAAAAGATTTCCAAGATCATTTAGTCCAACTACCCTCCTGTAACCAACATTTCCCACTAAACCTTGTCCATCAGTACAACATCTAAATCCCTCTTGAACATCTCCAGGGACAGTGACTCCACCACCTGCCTGGGCAGCCTGTTCCAGTGCCTGGCTACTGTTTCAAAGATGATTTTCCTAATGTCCAATCTGAACCTTCCCTGGTGCAATTTGTGGCCATTTCCTCTTATCTTACCACTAGTTACATGGAATGAGTCCAATTTCCACCTCACTACAACCAACCTCCTCTCAGGTAATTGAAAAGAGCAATAATGTCACCCTTGATCCTCCTCCAGACTAAAGAATGTCAGTTACCTCAGCTAGTTCCCATAAGGCTTGTTCTCCAGAACCATTACCAGCTTTGTTGCCCTTCTCTGAACATTCTCCATGACATCCATGTCTTTCTTGTAGCGAGGGGCACAAAACTGAACACAGTACTCAAGATGCAGCCTTGCCAGGGCTGAGTACAGAGAGCTGATCGCTTCCTTGCTCCTTCTGGCAGCACTACTTCTGATATAAGCCAGAATGCCATTTGCTTTCTTGGCCACGTGGGCAAACTGCTTGCTCCTGTTCGGCTGAGTATTGACCAAAACTCTCAGATCCTTTTCCTCTTTGCAGTTTTCTAGCCACTCTGCCCCAAGCCCATAGTCTTACATGGAATTGTTGTGGCCAAAGCTCAGGACCCAGCACTTGGTCTTGTTGAACTCCATCCCATTGGCCTCAGCCCAGTGATCCAGCCTGCCCAGATCCTGGGGGTGGGGCCTTCCTACCCCCAGGCAGATTGGCACTTCCTCCCAACTCAGTGTCATCTGCAAACTCAGTGAGGGTGCACTCAATGCCCTCATCCAGGTCATCAATAAAGATATTGAACAGGACAGGCCCCTATACCAGCCCCTGGGGAACCAGCATCTTCCTTGACCTGACAGGGCCACCAGCAACTCAGTCATTTGTTCTGAGACAGTTCTTCAGGTATGCCTATGGCCAAAGAAATTCCATGGGGTACTTGTCCATTTTACCATCTGATTGTCTCCACAAAGTACTTTAAATTGGAAAATCTGAATCTGATGATATCAGTAAGGGTACAGTTACCTACTACTTCAAAAGACAGCCTTTCTTGGTGTCCGCCTGCAGGACTGTTCTGCAGTGCATGCATGACTTGAGAAGATAGAATTGTGTTGGGTGATAGTGTGCTGGGCTGTGAAGCAAGTGCAGGGGGAGGTTGTCACAGCGAATCCCCTGTTCAAGTCAATGTTTGAAGTTCCAGTAACCAGTTGGGTTGCTTTTCTCTTTCTCTCTGCAAATTTAATTTGGTGTGTAGAAAAGAATCTGAGCTCATTTGTAAACCTATGTCCTTTGTAAATTCTCCTTACAGTTAATCAGATTGACAGTTTGATTCTCCTGTGAGAGATTCCCTTGACTGCAATCCCTATTTCTTTCTGGGATGCTCTTTTTTCTAGATATTGAAAAGCCTTAGCTGTTCCTTTCTTCTTCACTCCTTCCTGTTCATTGAAAGAAACCTGGTGGCTAGAGTTTGCTGCCTGCCTTTCTGCATAGGCTTCCTTTCTGCATAGTCTGTACCGCACTGTGGAAACTGATAGCATGTTTTAATGAGATGTTATGTACTTTAGCTGGGTATTTGCAGCTTTTGTTGTCACCTTACTTGTGCTGTACCAGTATTGGCTGTTGATCTTAAGGCAATATGACACAAAGGAGAGCCACTAAGCACTCTCTGAGAATAGTAGACAGGTCCTGACCTTGATTACTCAGATGTAACCACCAAAGGCATTAAGCACAAAACAACACAACCTGATATGAGAAAATACATAATCAATGAATATACAGATGCTATAATTAAGAAATATGCAGGAAAATTAGGCTAAACAGGTTATCATGCTAAAGAAGAATGGATGGAAATCTTACCTTTGCCTTGAGATTTCTGAGAAGACTCCAAGAATAGTGATCTCAAAAGAGATCCTTCCCCAGTGGTAGTCAGCTCTTAAATGAGGTCTAGGAGAAGTGGAGCCAGGCTCCACCCCTTCTGGTAGCACAGGAGAATTGTCTTCACCTGTGTTCCCAGGGCTGACTCATTGCTCACCTCAGGCGGTCAATCAGAGGTTCAAGCTGTGATTCAGCAGTTCCCACATAGATGAATAGAGCAGGTAGGGTTGCCAGAAGAGGTTTCTTCACCCTGTATTTATGATAGGCAAGTAGAAA